TCTACCATCTTCACTACATACATCTCCTCTTGCTCCCCACCACCTGCCCTCAGAGTCTACAGGTGCATGTCTCTCCCAGCCTTTCAAAAATGGAAACAGGCTTATTACTTTTAACAGTTGTCTCTCATTTATTTCAAACTAAACCCCTCTTAAAACCAGTCTTGTTAGTTTCTTCCACAACTGAACATCTTGAATCCTCAGAGCTCCTTGAAATGCAAGTTAAACTGTTTTGTCTGCTTTATCTGAACTGAATCTTGTACAAATGTCTGAACGCACCACCACACCCTTTTACTCAGGCCCCAAGCACACCTGAAAATGGCTTGCAGTCTCCCCAAGTCCAAGTAGGGTGCTTTAATGTTCGTTTCCTGCGAACAAAAAGCCAACCAGGGTGCTATATCTATTGCTTCATCTCATATTGCCTGGGATTTCTGTGAGGTTACTGGTGACTTCAGTTTACCCATTTACAATCACTGGAGATTCTAATTAAATCGCATTCCTGTAAGAAGCAACAAAGATCATCTCAATTAGGCTGCCATATTGATTCATTTTGATAAAATTGATTGGGTATAATTATACAGTACTTGCTTCAGCATTTATTATTAGTTTACCTCTGCCCTCAATGCTGTTGTAATAGGCTTCAGCAGAGGTGTCTCTCTATTATCTTTTATTCCTTAGTGGGAAATGGTTAATAAATTGGTTCTGGGAAAGAGTTATGCAGAACTGACCCATGAGTGGTGAGAACTGATTGCATGAACTGTTTCCTATAACTCAAAGAGTTTCCTTTTTTTTTTTTTTTACATAATTTCCCAAAAGTCATTTTAAAAATAGTTCAGAAACTCTTTGCTCCAGAGAGACATTTTCAGGTTTTGTAAAAAGCTTATAAGTCCTAAGAAAGTAATGCAAAGTCAAGAGCTGACTGGCTAATCTCCCATTTTGTAGCAATCAGTTAGCTCTTTGCTTCACCTAGACACTCAGTAAAAGAAAATTTTCTCAATGTTGAAAGAGGCAAATAGAAACACATTTCCTTGGATAGACAAGACACTTTTAAAAATTACACTTTTGTGGCGGTGGGGAGGGGAAGAAATTAAAGAACCATATGAGATGCATGAGATAAAAATTGTATGTTATAATTATTACAAGAATAGATTTTGAAGCTCAACATCTAGGCTCAAATCTTGTCTCCCAAAATGACTAGCTATGACCTCTCCCTTTGTTTCCACATCTGTAAAATGGGAATAATAAAACCTATCTTATAAGGTTGTTAGGAGGCTTATATGAATTCATATATGCAAATTGATTGGAACAATCCCTTGGAACATAATACACCCTTAATAAATACTCTTTCCTAGTGTTCTTAGAATAGCCTAAATAAATAGTAGATATCTATGGTTAACATTTTCTTGGCAATATGGAACATGTTGAGACCCTTCACTTAATTGCTCCAAATCCCTGGAGAGAGAGCACTGAGCCCAAGGCTCCAAAACTGATGCCACCAGAGAGGGTGTTGTTGCTTCTCTTATTAATATTGTCTAATCCTGTTATGTAGCAAGCATTTGGGGAATGAGTTAAATTAGTCTGCAGATTTTGGTTATAGAAATGGAATCGTTTTCTGGCATCTCATACCCTTGCCTCAGAGACATTTGGGGTGCCAAATCCAGATCCAAGGGTTCAGCTTCTTAAAAACCAGTAGATAAATTTAGAAACAATGCAAAATTGACTGAAGTTGTCACCCTTGACCTTGACAAGAGCGTATAAAGTCTTAACTCAGCACTGGTCTGCCCATTTCTTTTGATCTTTCCAAGGTAGGTTTCTATCTCTTGCTTTTCCACCAATATATTGAATGGTGGGTATTAAAAACAATTTGCTATTTTTACTGATAGTTTTTGCATGGGGGTTGTTATATGAAACAAAATATTTTAAGAAAAAGATGATGTGTTCATAGAATAGTTGCTCTGAGGTGAGAATTTTAACAGCAATTTTTTTTACTTTTGGTAAAATCTTTTGGAGAATGTACGTCTATTATTTTACTTACCATACTGAAAAGTGTATTGACAAATCTTGGTCCCTGCTATACTTGAATCTTGAAACAGAAGTCGCATCTTAATTATTCTAGTATCCCAAGAATTTTGACAATTCCTGGCGTTTACTGAATGTTCAAAAAATTGTTATATTTAATTGAACTGGAATACATAATATTCTCGTTTTATTTTAGACAAGTGTATCTGACTATTATGCAAAGATGTTGACTACAATTGTACTAGGTTAAAACTCATAATTATTCTGAGTTAAGAACATTCAGAAAATATGAAACCAATAAATCAATGAAAATAATGCAATTAATACCTTGAATGTATATATCATCTTTTAGAATCACTAAATATATTTAATGCATGTCTTTTGTGCTGAATAACAGCACCTGCAATTCTAAAGTAAATGTTACTCTATTATGCAGTTCATGGGTCACTGACCCTAAGGAATATTATCAGGACAGTGTTCCATTTGAGCTAATCTTTATTCCGTGACTGTGGTATTAACTAGTATTTTATGGGAGGATATATTTGCCTTCAATTCTGAAGCACAAAAATATAGCCCTCGATATTAGTTTCCTTTAGTTCATCTTCATAGATCTATTGTCAGTATTTTTCTCTCAACTCTGCTCAAAACTATCCATACTTTCAGTCTGCTCCGTTGTTATTGGTTGGTGAATGTGAGCCAATCATGTATTTTGCTGGTCCCTGCATACTCACCTGTAAAATATGAAGCAGTGAGCCAGCTGATATTAAAGAACTTTTAGTTCTAAGGCCCCATGGTTTCAAAAATCTTGGGGCAATACAATTCAGATGTATTGACTTAAATACTTTATTTAAAAAATAAACTACTTATTTAAATCTTTCCTTACCAGTCCGGTTTTCTTGATATGGTATACCAGTTGATTTTTATCCTTAGCATACTTCTTTTGAACCATAAATCTAAATTTTTCTCATCCAACTTAGAAATGAAGTGGTGATGCTTTTTAAACCAAGGACATGTTGCCTGTATGGATGTGTTGCATTTTGGTTAGATGCTTTTCTAACCAAGAACATCAGCCTCCTGGCTGGCTGGAGCTCAGCCAGGAGGAAGTATAGCATCATGCTTAAGAGCAAGGACTCAGGAGTCAGACTGATGGGTCTGCTCTATTTGTTGGTTCACTCCCTAAGTGTTTATTAAGGCTCTACCCAAAGAACTAGAGTCTTCTCTGAGTGCTGCAGACCTAGTCCTGCCCTCAGATTACTTATGTTTCATTAAGAAGATGGGCAATTAAACAAATAATAATAAAATAGTATGAACATTATCATAATGCAAGTAGCAAAGAAATCTAAGAACACATCTAGCTGACAGAACGAACCAAGAGAATACCTTCTTGTAGAAATGTTGCTTACTGAAGACTCAAAGGATGATTAAGAATTAGCCAGAGGAGGAGGAACAGGGCTGAATGTTCCCAGCAGGGGTCACATAACGTGTGAACATCCAGAGGTCAGAGAGTGCTGTTGGCATCTACTAGTAGTGCCCCAGCCAGGTCAGGCCTGAGGATGAGACAGCAAGAGAGATGAGGTGGGGGTGTCAGCCAAGCAAGAGGATAGAGAGCCCTATAGGATCTGTTAACATGTTGGACTTTTATCATAGGATGCGGTATGATTTTAAATAAGATAGTACGGTAACTGCATTTCTCTATTTGGGGGCCTCGTTCTGGATTGGCTGCTGTCAAGAGACTAAGTAAGAGAATACAGCAATAAACCCCCAGAAAAATGATGATGGCCTTGATCCAGATGTTGGCAGGGGTGATGGAAAGATGTAGATGGTTTTGAGTGATATTTAGAAAGAGTCAGCAGAGCTTGGCAATTGATTGGGTGTAAAGGTGAACAAACTAGGAAACAAGAATGACTTTCATGTATCTGGATTTAAAACTAGAAATAACACTTTCTGGTTCTCTAAGACTCAGTGTTTTCATATAATAAAGGTTATTACATACATCCTTCATAGAGCTACTGTAAAGTTAAAAGAGTTATTATGTATAAAACACTTAACCTAGTTCCTAGTGTGTGATACACACTCAGAACTCAGATTTGCTTTTATTAAATAGTATATTGGCACTGTCTCCAAAGGTATTATTTCAGGGATGTTTGAGATTCCTTCCTTTAGGTTGTAAAATGTTATTCTTAAAAATACATATACAGCATTATGCCTCCTTGACCTGTATGACCCTGCACATTGCTCTAGCCTAGCACCTAGCATTTATCATATTGAATTATAGTCACTGATTTATATCTCTGTTGTCCATGTCCATTAGAGTGGAAACTTCTTGAGGTCTTATTACTCTTTTAATCCATAGATCCTAAGAGGACATACTTTAAAATGAATGCATGACAGAATTTAATCAGAAGGTGGCTGGGCGTAGTGGCTCACACCTGTAATCCCAGCACTTTGGGAGGTCGAGGTGGGTGGATCACTTGAGGTCAGTTCGAGACCAGCCTGGCCAACATTGTGAAACCTCATTTCTACTAAAAATACAAAAATTAGCCATGCATGGTGGTGGGCATCTGTAATCCCAGCTACTCGAGAGGCTGAGGCAGGAGAATCACTTGAACCCGGGAGGCAGAGGTTGCAGTGAGCTGAGATTGCACCATTGTACTCCAGCTGGGGCAACAAGAGCAAAATTCCATCTCAAAAAAAAAAGAAAAAAAGAATTTAATCAGAAGTTCTTCTCTGGATCAATAGCGAATAGATCAGTGCAAAGACCCAGCATTTTGATCAGAGATTGGGAGGTAGGAAAGTGTAGGAGAAGGCAGTTCTGGAAAGGATTAAAGAGCCAGCAAAAGCTGGGAGAGGGGAACTAGTGAAACGAGGGAGCAAAAGAGAAATGTCATTGATATTCACAATTTTTATTGTGGATGGACCTTTGATTAGTAAATGAACAACTGGGAAAGAGAATAAAAAGAAGAAGGGACCCCAGAAACCAGGGAATGTCAAATGCTGCAGAGAGGGTGAGTAGGATTAGAGACTGAAAAGCACCCAATTAAGATTTGTCTTTAGGAGATCATTAGAAGGAACAGTTTCTGTGGAGGTATGGGAAGAAAAGCCACTTCCCAGTGGGAGGGGAGTGGGGAACACAATCTAGGAGTGTAAACTGCATTGCCTGGAGACCTGTAGCTGTAATAATAATTACCCTTTGAAGTAAATGCTTTAAATAATCGATAATTTGTGCAATACTCTTGGTTTGTAATTCAACCTTTTAACATTCCTCTTTGAAGAAGATAAACCTGCCTAAAGCCCCTGCTTTTGTAGAGAAATAAGCTGCATATAAATAAATAAATTGCAGGTAGTATAGCTGGTTAAGGGGTGGTAGATTTGTGCCTAAAGACTAACCACATAAGATTTTCTATGGAGGAAACCTTGCTGAGTTAAGGCACATAACATGATTATTCCAGCAGCATGAATACTAGGAAGCATCAGCATCATTTTTCTACCCAGTAGTGTCCCTAATTAGGAGCATCTTGCAGCATTTCCCCAGATTTGTGGCATTCACTGGGCCTTGTAACTCAAATGTGTCTCATTTACTGCCTTAAGACATATGTTTCAGCTTGTTTGGGATCATTTACGTGCTTGATAATTCTTCCCTTCAGCTGTTGACATCTGGATAAATCCATTCTCATTTTCAGGCATTGTCTCCAATTTTAATAATGGAAGAGGCTATGTCAAAAGATGCTTAGTATTTGTTTACCCAAAGGAATATTAATATTTGTTCTTATTACTTGCATCATGGCTTCCCAGCAGTAGAAGGCTTTGAAAGTAAACATGCATAATAACGTACCTTGATAAAGAACTCAAGCGAATCTAATCAATTATGATGAAACCAACTTAAAAATGTGTCAGGACTGCTAACATGAAAAGAGTTTAACTCTTTTAACAATTTACTTCATAGACATCATTTGAGTTTCTGCTTATAGTTAAGGCACTGAAATGCCAAGGTGATATGGATTTCTGCACCCCCTCATCCCCACATTTATTGTCTAGCTCTGTTTGAACGAGATGAGTGCTGAGTGATAGATTTACTGTGGGCAGCAGTAAGAGGACTAGAAAGTGTGACCTTTCAGGAGTGATCACCATCCAAATAAACAATTCCCTTATCTCACCTCCATCTACTCAGCTAGTAGCTGCCACTATGTGAATTACCTCTTTACTTCCCTATGGTACCATCCTTCATTATGGTTTTGCACATCCCAAATTCACTAAGCAATTTGGAAAGCAAAGCTACTCTCTTACATATTTAGCACAGTGTTCAAAGACTGCATAAATGCTTGTTGAATAGTAAAAAGAACAGTTAACGTTGATTAAGGTTTTACTATGCACCAGACAATGTGCTGAGTTTTATACACAATCTTCACATCATCTTAGGAGAGAAACGAGGAAACTGTGTTAGGGCAAAGACTGAGACATAATGCATTAGTTAAGGATATTTTGATGGCATATAACAAATTCACTTGACATTATTTAAAGTTGGGAAAGAAATTAGAATGTACTGGAAGGTCATTTAGAGAGCTTATGGAAATCAAAGGCAGAAATTAAATGTCGGTCTCAGGAGGTACTTTACCAGGAAAGGTCTTTGGGATATAAGAAAGTGAACTCTCTCTTCCTTTGGTCCCTTATTGCTGCTTCTCCTCATCCTTGTGACTCCCTCTCTGCTGATGCTTTTGCTGACTAGTGTGCATGTGGCACCACATGACCACACCACAATGCCAACCTCAGCCCTCAAGTTTGCATCACTCCATTCAAGCAAAGAGCCCAGATGGAGAGTGGCATCTAAATCCCAAATCTGTAGTCCAGCAGGATACCCTGATTGTCTCTGGTTGTCCCAGGATCAGATACTGAAGCCTGGTTTATAAGCTGGGCCAGGATACCAGTGTCACTTTACAGACATGGCTACTTTTGGCTTATTCCTGTGGATGAGAGCAGGCACTTCTAATAGGAGTGTGGGCTCAACAGGCACTCCAAACTGTGTCAACTAGAAGTGGGTAAGAACTGGTAATTATAAAATCAATAAAAGTTGATAATGAATTGAATGTGGCATGAGATAGAAGGAGCAATTTGAGATGACTCCAAGGGTTCTATCATAGGGGATTGGGAGGATCCAGGATGAGTCACTTCCATTGGAATGGTGGGCAGAGAATGAGACAGTGGAAGAGCCTGTGAAACAATAATGTGAGGAATATGTTTTCTCATCTTAAGAAAACATAACTCTGCCTATGGTTTCCACTCAGACTAGTGAGTTGGGAGTTGTAGCTGTACAAGCTCACCTCTTCCCTTCGCTTCTACAGTCCCCCTCTGGGCTTCTTTTCTGACCTTTGCCATATAACCAGCTCCACCCCCCACCCCAAAGTGTGAAAATTTCTCTCTACAGATTTGTCTAATGCATAATAATTCAAGACAGAAGAAACTTCTACCCCTACTTAAATCTATTACTGTAAGAGGGCACAGTATTTATTCTGTGCATTATTGTACCCCTGGGCCTAACATGGGCAATTATAGATGGGCAGTACATTTATATTGCATGAATATATTCAAATTTATATTTGAAAAGGACATTTTCAAAAAGAGGTTTGCAAAATACCTGAGGAGGGAGAGGGGGACAGCTGCAGAAATACAACCAGTATAAAAATAGCTGACTTCCAAAATAGTGATTGAATTTCTAAAAGAACTACAGGCACTACACTTAAAAGTAGGTTGACCAACTTGTTCTAGTTTTCCTGGGACTTTTCTGGTTTTCACACTGAAAGTCTCAAGCCCTGGGAAATACCTCAGTTCCGGGAAGACAGGAATGGTTGGTCATCCAGGCTCGTGTCTTATCTCAGCTACTGTGAAAGGCAGCTAGGTGAGACCAACATGATTCTTTCTTGGCCAAGAGGAAAAACTTACATCTCAGCTCTCCCTTCCCTGTAAGGGCTTCCCATTCTTTGTGTTTACTTTGTTAACTGGTAACTAATATACACCTGGAAATTGTGCTCTATAATTGTAAACAGGATACTGATGGCTTATATGGTGCTCAGTCCCTGTAAAGGTGAACTCTAGAACAGAACAAGATGCGTTATTTTGCTGTGTTACAAACTGAATTATGTCATGGACATGATGATCTAATGTCTTTCTCTGAATCCAACCTTCTGATAGTGATGATATTGTCTATGTGCCCTGTGGATCATGCAGACAAGTAACCTGGACTTTGCAGTTATGCAAAAGGTGTACACTCATTGTCAGTTTAGAAATTACCATTTCAAGTCATCAATTCTCTTATTAGTGGAGTGTCAATATGTCCCCATTCGCTTGGGTCAGTCTTAGATTAAGTTTGTTGTCCTGATTTAAATATTAATGGCATCCCCTCTTAAAAATCCCAGTAAAAAAAATAGGTCCAGGTTTGGGTGATGAATTATATGCACACTTCTGAGCATAGTTATGTGATTCCCAGAACCTAATCGCTCCAGTATGTATCAATAAATCAAGCTCCTGAATGTTCAAAGGCAGAGCTAGGTCCTAGGAGTGAGGTACTCCCAGCAATGTGCATGCAGCCCATCTGCTCTATCCTTTCCTATTCTCCTCCCAGGATTCCAGTGCTACCCCCTGCTCTCTTCTATCTTGTAAATATATGCAGTATCAGATACAAGTGTTTATGACAGGCGTCAGAATCCTCCGATAAACATGCACGAGCATACCAGTCTCAAATATAATTTCCTTTCAACATGTAGATGAATTTTTCCTTCTAAGAGAATTACCTTGAGTTCTATACTCATCTATGTTTCTCTGTCATTCACAAAATAGAGCTTCCTGATTCTTTTGCTGGGAAGGTTAATTTGTTTACTTCTTTTGGGCATTTGGGCTCTTTCATTTTCTATTTTAAGATGTTGCTAGGACTGGGCTGTGACAAGTGTGTTATTGTATAAAATTGTAAAGCCATATGTGCAACTGGAACCTAAAGGGACCCAGAGGTCAGTAGGACATTAAGGGGTTAATGGATGCTGGAGGGGGCCAAGGAGAAAGAAGGATTTCGATCCTTTTTTTGCTCAGGTGAATCATTCTCTTGGCTTCAGTTACCTATCTCCAAATGATGGCCAGGCCTGCTCCACTCCTGGCACCTACTGTTTCCTACTTTCTAGTGCCTGCACCTGCATATTCTGTTCCTTGTATTCTTTTAAATATGTTAAATGCTCCAGACTTGGAGGGAGAGTTACACAGCTGTGTGCTCTATGTCTTGCTGTAATCTTTTCATCTCTGATGTTATAATAAGAACTACTTGTAAAAAATCTGTTAATTATGAAATATAAGCACATGGCACACATTGACTGACCAGAATGGAATGAAATGAAAGGTAGTTCTCTCCTTCTCCCACCCATCTCCTGCTCTCACTACTCAGATATCCATTTCTTAGGTATCTTTTCAGGAAGTTTGTACACACGTGTATTAATGGATATCTTTTATATTCCCAATATACTTCCTGAGCTCTACTGTCTACTGAGTGCAAGCCACTAGGAAGTCACACATACAGAGAGGAGGAGGATATAGTGCATTCTTTCACAAATCCAGACTCACAAATTGTCTCCCTGACTACGGCTTTTCCTCATCCCCATCTACCCAGAATATGCTGCCAGAGCCATTTTCCCAAAATACTGCTTTCCTCATGCTCCTGCCCACAGAGTTGATGATGTTTCCTATCATCTATTTCTAAATTTCTCTGCCTTACTTTCAGAGCTTTCCTTTATCTTGAGTTCTTCTATATTCAAATGTCTAACAATGTTATTACTGTTATAATGATTACAAAACCTGAATCTGAATGCTTATCCGCAGAAAAATCAGTTTTGTCTTTTTCCCTGAGAAATGCCACCTTCAGTCCCAACTCTGGAGGGCCATGATGTATGTTGTTTCTCTTGAGCATCTTTTCTTCTCTCCACTTCAGGAAATGTTCCTGTACATTAAGGCTAGTCCTTGCATTACACAGGCG